GACTGCTGTCTTGCACTGAGTAATGTTCAGTGTCCTCCAAGCCTCTCCATAGCTTCGTAGCACATTCTTCATGTCAGTGGAATAAACTTCCACTGACTGGCTGCACTAACTTACTGCACTCCCACTGTAGGGCATCTTGGTTTGAATCCGGGTTTGTGAAATTAAACTGCTATACGCAGCCATATGCAGGTTTCAGGGTGGACACAGGATTTCAGCTCTTCTGGGTAAATACGAAGGTGGATGTTTGCTGGATCATGAGGTGACATGAAAGTGCCCCCCCAGACTCCAGAAGGGCTGCAGCTGTTGCCTCCCACCCCCGTGTCTCCTCCCCTGCGTGTGGTGTGGCCAGGGCTGTCCTAACAGGCGTGCAGCCCTAACTGGGTTCTGAGACTTTGGAAGAGGTACACAACACCCGTATTTCCTCCTCTGATTCAGCCTGTGACCTTGGACAAGTCACTTCCCCTACACTTTCCTCAGGAGCCAAACAGCTGATGCTTATCAGTTGCCTATTCCAGGATCCGTGTCTGAAACTCAGCAGTGAGAACTGATGCAGGAGTGCCCAGTCCAAGAGAGGAGATGGAATCAAACAGCTGATCACTCATTCTCCAGCCTCCACCGCGACGCAAGAACGATTCCCAGGGAGCCAGGAAAGCCTGAAATGCCAGTGGTTTCACACAGAGGAAGTGTTTCCCACTCACGTAAATGACCAGTGCGGGATTTTCCAGGCAGTTTGAATTTTGTCTCTAGGAAAGCTGCGAACACGTGTGTCACCCACCCTGTGGCTTCCGTCATCCTCGTGAGCAGAGGTGGTCTCCACCTCCCTCCAGCAGAAAGAACAAGAGAGGGCAGAGAATGCAGGCCCACTTGGTAAAGCCACTGACCTGGACGTGACAGGCACTGTCTCTGCCCAACTGTCTCGGTCCTGAACGTCACAGTGGTCACATGGAGATGCCACAGATGCCACGCAATGAGCAGCCACTTCCCCCAAATGGACAGGACCGTGAAAGGGGAAATATGTTGGTTTTTCTTCTGAGCACTGGACAACAATGTGAAAGGTATCTGAATAAGAAGTGCAGCCGAGGGCAGGGGATTTAGCTCAGTGGTTCTGGGACCTGCCTTGCAAGCTCAAGGTCCCAAGTTCGATGTCCAGTAGAAGAAAGAAAGAAAGGAAGGAAGGAAGAGAGAAAGAAGTACACACCAGTGGGACAGCACATGAGATGTCCCTTCAACCCTGCCCAGCGCATGGGCCTGGGCATCTGGGGTGACGGAGCCCTCTGTCCTCGGTGGGAACCCGCCCAGCTGAGGCTCGGAGGGGCACGGGGAGACCTGACTGGCTCCTGTGGGGAGCAGCCCGAGTCCCACTCTCCTGAAGCTCACAGCGCAGTGCATGGCTGATGCCTCCTCCTCGCTGGGTCCCTTGCTCTGGACTGTGACCCAGGAAGGGCTCCCAGTGGCCCGTTCTCTGTCCCTGTCCCTGAACGGGGGGCTGTGGAGAACCATAGATCCGCCCCTCCGCCATTTTATGATACAGCCTATGAAGCCATTTTGTATTAGGTTTAGTTTTCCTGTAGATCACATGATATGTTCCCGTGGGTGTTTGATGTATCCTTATAAGGTAATAATCTGTTCTCTGTATGCTGATTGGTTGCATTATGGTATATATGTTGCCACCCCTTCCGGGCGCGGAGAGAGAGCGGGGTAGAGATCCTGAGATGAGGAACTAAAGTAAACTCCTTGTGTACCAAGTGTGTGCCTCTTTGCTCACACGTCGCCAGTTCAGGCCCCTGTAGTCACAGACCGAATTGCCCAAGGCAATCCGGCTCGCGACACGGGCAGAGCCTGAAGCTGGCAAGCTCTGGGCACTGTTCCGGCCCAGAACACGGCTATGGCTCTGCTGCCTTTGGGACCTGGGCGGGATCTTGAGTTGGACGTGGTGGTACTTGGGGTGTTTTCCAAGATGTCTGCATCCCTGGGTTCGAGATTTCCTTTCCATCTGCATGGAATGCATCAGACTCAGAAGGCTCCCAGCCCCAGGCAGGCACAGAACTCTTCCGGTGGGCAGCGACTGGAGAACTTATCAGGAAAGGAATTGGAATCAAGGATTCTGAGAGAGACTATGGGAAGCCAGCCATGGCCCACTGGCCTTTTGAAAGACAACATTTGTTCCTTTTTAAGGACTGCACATGTTAAACTTGTTTTGACCCTGCACGGGAGAAACTCGGACAGCCAAAGATCTGTAGGAGTCAGGTGCTTCCTGTTAAAGATCTGACGTTATCCATAGGAGTCAGGTGTTGTAACTCCATTTTGTTAAGTTCCTCCACCTATTGTGGGAATCATGATTATTAGTTGCAAGTGTTGTTAATTCATTTTTCTTGAGCCTGCTTTCTCTTTCCCGTGTGAACCCTCGTTCCCGTGGAGCGGGTGTTTAGGTTACTATGGTAATCCTAGCCCATAATAGTTCGGTCTTTTCCTTTAAAAGGCTGATGCCTGACTGCAATAAACGTCGCCTTGATCAGACTCTTGTCTTGGCGTCCTTCCTTTCTCTCTGCCCCATCTCCACCCCGCTGCTCTTTCAGGTTTGAGGCACTGCTGGACAGTGCTCTGTGTCGCCGGTTCGCGACAAGAGACAGACACTGAGGAATTTAGACTCCGAAGTCACTCCCAGTGTGGACCCAAAGGCTTTCCACATCTGGCCACAGCTGTCTCCATGAAGAGGATCTAAACATCCTCTCCTTCCACTGCCTCCTCTCACGCCCGGTCCACAAGTCCCGCATCCTCAGAGCCTCCACCTTCCCCACGTGCACGGAGTCAGAACACAGCGATTCCGGAACTCTGCAGCCTGGGCCAGGGTGGCGGTGACGATGTGCCCACACTCCTGCAGCCGCTGCCAGCCGAGCCAACTGCAGAGCTCGGCAGCTCCAGATGGGAGAGGGTGACGCGCCGACTACGCGGAAAGTCATCCCTGGAAAGCAGAACTCTGTCAGAGTGGAGGGAACCCGCGGAGGATGACTCCACGCTACTGGAGACGTGGTCAGTGGGAGAGAGTCAGCCGGGCGGGATTTCTCCCGGAAGTCTCGGGACTCCTGCGAAACTGCCATACAGCAGCAGTGTGGGGCTAGGCATGGGATGTGCGCCTGTAACCCCAGCACTCTGGGAGGCTGAGGCAGGAGGGTCAAAAGTTCACACCCAGACTGGGCAACTTAGGAATTTAGCAAGACCCTGTCTCAAAATCAAAAATAAAAAAGGGCTGGGGATGGAACTCAGCATGAAGACCCTGGGTTCCACCCACCAGCCCCACTCTGCAGCCCCCCCATAAACAGGACCGTGGCTGTCGGAAGAACCTGCTCATGAAGTGAATGCTGTGCTTCCTCAGAGGACAGGGCCCTGAACAGCAGTGAGAGCAGGGGCGGAGCGGGCAGGTGGAGGCCCGGTCTGGCCGAGCAGGGCCCCTCCCTAGTGGGCTCCGCCGTGGGCCCGGCGTCTCCTGAGGGAAGGAAGGCCTGGATGTGGCTGGGATGGTCAGAGCCAGGAAAGTGCCAGGCCCCAAGAGGCCCGCTGGGCACGCAGGGCTTTTGTGGGAACCGGAGTCTGCCCAGAGCCCAAGTCTAGCGCCGCAGGATGGGGCACGTGGGCGACAGACCTAACTTGGCATAAAACAGCACTGTGCTGCCATGGGGACTCCAGCCACTTCCTGCCCTCTGCTCACACGTGCTCAAGGGCTTTCCACCCTGGCCATACAGCCGGGGTTCCTGCTCCGATCCAGCCCCACCTGCACCCCCTGGAGCCAAGCTTGCACCATGCCAGAGCCTTTGCACTAGCAAGTGCCCGTGCCCCAGAAACGCACACGGCCCGTCCCAGTCTCCAGCCTGGGCCCAGGGTCTCCCATGGGAAGTCATCACCACCCCCTCTTGCCCTCCGTTCATCGCCTTCTCTCTTCAGTGCCTGTTGAGAACGTTGTGCGAGTTTTGCTGATGATTCTCCTTTACAATCTGAGGTCCCCGCTAACGTGCTTCCCCGCAAAGCCATGGACGCCCTTCCTGACGCGCTCCCTGCCCCGCCGTCTGCACTGCAGTGGTGCCTGACGCAGAGTAGCAGCGCCGTGAACGTACCCAAGGGCGAGCCGAGTGGACAGAGACCCACCCCGTGCTCAGGAAGTGTAAGGAAGGTGCCAGGACCACTGAACACACCCCAGAGGCCAGGCTGCGTGTTTGGGTCCTGGCTATGCCAGTTACGAGCTGTGTCAACCTCTCTGCCCTTTGTGGCTGCTTCGGCAAAATAAAATTTTGTTAAAAAGTCGAACAGAGTGCTAGGGATTTAGCTCAGTGGTTCTGCCGCCTGCCTCGAAAGCACAAGGATCCGAGTTTGATCCCCGGTACCAAAAAAAAAAAAAAAAAAAAAAAAAAAAAAAGCAGAAGAGAAAACACGCAGAACGTGAGGAAATGTTTACACACACTGTACACCTGCAAAGCCTTAGTAACCCAAATAGAAAAGAAACTCAGATGACTCAATAGCAAAAAGCCTCCAGTGACCCGATTTGAAAACAGGCGATAGATCTGAATGATGTTTGCAAAGAAAGGCGAACAAATGGTCGTCGGGCACGTTAGTGCATTCATGAGCATCAGGGAAACGCAGGTCGGAGTCACGATCGGACATCACGTGCTCCAGCGAGAGCAGCTGTTATTAGAAAGACAGAAGTTAGTGCTGAGGAGCAGAGGGAGGAGGACGCACAGCTCTCGGTGCCTCCTAGCACAGCTGCCGTGAGCAACACAGCAGAGCTCTGCCAAGATAAAAAATTGACCATTTATCAAAATCTCTAGTATCACAAAGATTTATTAATGTAGTACAAACTAGATCTTCTGCCTTCACGAGTTATATTACAGCTGGGTGTGGTGGCGCACGCCTGTAATCCCAGCACTCCAGAGGCTGAGGCAGGAGGATCGCTGTAAGTTCCAGACCAGCTTGGGCTACAGAGTGAGTGCCAGGTCAGTCTCAACTACAGAGTGAGACCCTGTCTCAAAACACTAAAACAAAACAAACAAACAAACTAAAAAATAAAAGAGAGAGCTATAGGGGAAATCAAAGACGGGAAAGCACAGATTTTAATTTCTAATTTTTATTTTTCTTACCGCCGTACAAGTGTGCAGTGAACAGTGACTCCATCTCTCACGGGGAGCGGGTCCACCTACGAAACACAGCTCAGTTCTCTTTATTTGCATGGCGCCTCCTGCCTCGCAAGCACAAGGCCCTGCGTTCGATCCCATGTCAAAAAAATAAAGACAAATTTTTAAAATTCTCTTTACGCCCTCCCCTACTCTCCCTCCTTCCTCCCTTAATCTTGCGAGGATTTCAACATAATTTATGAGTTACAGAGTTTTTAAAAACAGAAGCTGCAAAATAGTTGGAGACAAGCTTGTGTTTCGTAAAAACTTACTGGATGCAAATAATATTTAGGGGAAGTTTGTATGGCTTTTGGGGCCCTTTTTAAAAACAAAATATGAAATTTGGGGGAATTAATTGCTGAGTGTGCAACTTACAGAGCTGGAAGAAGAAAAAGAAGCGAGGGAGGAAAAGGAGGACACCGTTATTGTGACTTTTTTGGGAAAAGGACGTTTAGGGAAAAGGCAGTCACTGACGCAGCCGCACCAGCAGGGTCGGGAGGACCCGCGGCGGAGCCGGACCAGAGGACGACTCCACGCCCACCCGCGAGGGCTCGCCCAGCCGCCACCGCCTGACTCGCTTACTGCGTGTATTTAGTGCACACCACGTTTTCTTTTCTTCTTTGTACAGGGATCGAACTCGAGTTTTTACGATCGATCTCGAGTTGTTACGATGCACGGTAGCTGTCAGAAGCACTGCGCTAAATCCCCGCACCACGTTTTGCAAAGAAATTGCATCCTATTTGACTGGATCTGCAGCGCGCCGTCACGCCCGTTCCGACTGCGCTCGGGACCGACCCCACCCGACCCCCCAGT